ACCTACCATGGTATAATACCAAAGGATATTTAATTTTTACTTGTACAGTAAAACATTCACTAAATATATTCGACAACATGCATGGCTAGAGCTAAATTGTCTCTCTCTCTAGCTTTGTTAATAATCTGAGTCATGCCATGAAATAGGATACATTGCTAAATCTTCATGGTCAGGTCTAGTAAGCACATGTGTAAGTGGTTTGTCCAGAGGTTTGTAAGAAAAGAGTTAATTAACATTATAAAATGAATGAGTTTGAAGCAGGTAGCTTCCATCCCTCTTCTCTCTCTCTCTAACTTTTTTTGGCTTCCTCTGTGTAGCTGTGTTGAGCTTTGGATTAATGCATGTTTTTATGTAAAAGTTCTATAACAGCTCTGAAGAAAGCTTGCTATTATTTCACATCCCCTGAAATGTGTTTTGTTCTCATTGAATGGAGTTAAGTAAGAGGTTCTCTCCTTTATCTGTAAGGATGGAGGCAGACGTCGTATCATTAATGGAAATAAGAGCAATGAGAGGCAACATTCCTGCAAGCAAAGTGCTCACTTGAGATCCCATCAAGCAATTCCATATTATGTTACAGGGCTTCAAACCGCAGTCGGTGGCTAGCCTCTACAATACTACAAGACAAATTATTATATTTCCAAATCCACTGAACACACTTATGTAAAAATTACATAAAACATGTTCTGCTACTTCACACTACATTTGCTATAATTCAGTGGCAGACAGAGTAATTTTTAAGTCACCTGACATTTAGACACCAAAAGAAAACACTATAGACTGGCACTACGTAGAGTGCATTGCTCCACCAAACCCCAAACACTCATAAATCCCGTACACTCATAAATGTATGCATGATTGTATCCATAAAGATGAATTCTTCTCTGAGAATTCAAGGAAAATGTTGAAAATCTAGCAATGTTGAAAAATGCAAAAAAATTAATCCAGGATCCACCCCCTAATCCAGATCCATACCAAAAAGCCTCTTTCTTAGGTCTTGCTTCATTGCTATACAAGATATCATGGAAATGGGTTTAGTAGTTAAAAATAATAATAATTTGTTAAAAAACAAATAAACGTAAACTTAAGTATTACCTCATTTTGGGAGGTAATAAGATTACTGCTGATCAAGTGCTAAACGTTGCCCCACATAGACGCCTCATGCTGCAGTTGCTGGTTTTACACTATAGCACCTTTTTCATTTTTCACTTTCATCACCAAACTCTTTCATGTGTGTGTTCCCACTGCTGTCTGATGGTTGTTAGAAGCTGGGTAACCTTTGGGTAAGCAGTGCAGCCAAAAAGACTCCATTGTAAAACTAGCATAGCAAAATGAAATTCACTGGGGGTACGAATTGCATTACAGTCTCCATTAGCCTTTGGCCTCATCTGTCACAGGAATAAGAGCGAGCAGACCACTCACAGGTCAGATATCCAATAGCAGGTCTGCGGGCACAGTATCAGAAGAAAGCCCTCAGTCAATAAATTGAAGTTGAAACTGAGTCAAACAAGGATGTGTAACTAGACAGTACACCACACTTACAAATGATGTTTGTGTGTGTGTGTGGCAGATCTTACAACGCAGCATGTATAGATCATACACATGCAAGCCTTTGTCTCTCTCACACACACACACACTCAACACATTGGATATAACTGTATCTCTTTCTATTTTCTCTCATCTCATCCATCAACCATCTGTTGTTGCTGCTGTAAGCTACGATGCAGCCAGGTCATTTCAAATTCAGCTCTTTTCATCCTGTTTGTTTGAATTATTTTTCTGCCAGAGGCCTCCTCGCTGCCCTGTGGCTTGACTTTGATTGAACTCTGCATTGCCCACCCGATGCTATCTGATCAACAAACACACTTTTTAATTTAACTTTTAGTCAAAAACACCATTTAAGTGTTAGACTCTCCAGGGAAATAGATTTTTAACTTTAATATGAGAAACTCTAGGCAAGCGAGGACGTAAACAGCAAATGGCCATTTCTTTATTTCACATTAACTTGTTCAGTAACTTTGTCATTGCACTCATGCAACTTTTTTGAGGGCAATGTCCTGAAAAGATATTTTCTTAAACCTGGCTTATTCAGGGGACTGATATTTATGAATGTGTGCAATTTGGTTTGGCTCAATTGCATTTAAGGGGACTGTTAGACCATAGCAGAGGTATCCACTGAGTTTACGTTATAGTTTCTAATGTGCCAACTATGGTACATTTTCTTACAAAACACTTATATTGTTGTGTTTCAGCTCCAGGTTCAGGGGTTTTGATTTCTACGAGCCTTTATTTCTATCTTTACTGAGAGGATCTTTCAGCTGTGTTGTCTTTCCAAAGCTGCACCTCTCACAGATCAGCTGTCAGTCAAACAGTTTTCTGCTGATGAAGTTCACTCTCTGAAGCTGGTCCTCTTTGTCAGCCATCACTGCTGATGCTAACCACGCAGTTCTTCTGCTGATGTAATTCTGCAGTCATTTATATACATATATATATATATATATATATATATTTTTTTTTATCATTTTCACTATCTTGGTTTAGCATGTTAATTGGCTAACATTTGTTAATTAGCCCTCAACACAAATAACAGCTAATGTGGGTGGGAATGTTGTGCAGTGCAGGATAGCGACCACACCAACCAGCCAAAAAGAACACAGAAGCAACCCAGGCCTTTCAGAACAACATGCAAATCCAAAGTTCCCGAACTTGAGCAGTGATAGAAACAGCAGCATTTCATTCTTTCAAACTGCATTCCAAGTGCAGCCAGAGGACCAAGATTTGTTTCTAATATTATGTGCCTTGGTTACTGGTAGAAACCAACTCAATGTCTGGGACATTTGAGAAAACTGAAAAACCCTCAACACCTGCTCTTCACACATATATATATATATATATATGTATATATATGACTTGCAGCTTACACTACTGTATGTTAACCCTCTCATTCCCATATTGTTCTCTAAATAAAACCAAAATGTTTTTATCTGAGTTAATAATGAATGCTTGGAAGCTTTAGTAGCTCAGCAGTTGTTTTCAGGGTGAACCTTCGCTCTTTCCTGTCATGTTCTTCTGCTTGTCTAAACTGATGTACTTGTGTGTGTGTTGCAGGTTTCTCGGAGTGCCTCCAGGCAGAGGCAGTTGCCCACTCACTGGCCCTCTGCCCTTTGACCTCATCTACACTGACTACCACGGCCTGCAGCAGATGAGGCAACACATGGGCCTCTCGCTCAGGAAACACAA